GTGAGTGTCGCTTATCAGGCTCAAATATTTGCGATAACAACACCGACTGATTTTGCATGTTTAATTTGAGAACGCCATTAGGGCGAACTCCGTGCTGTTGCTCTGTTCACACAGTTAATTGCATTCCCTTTGGCCGCTTCTTCAATTGCAGATAGCATGACCATTCCATCGAGACCGGCGCCCGCTCCGCCCGGATCACGTGGCCAGAGCGCCGCGGATGGGGCGAATGCCAGCCTGAAGCAGCTGCGTCTCCAGCTCCAGCAGCAGCACCTGCAGCAACAGCAGGCGGCCGGCGGAGGACTCCAGAAGCTGACCATCAAGCTGCCGCCACCGCCCAAGGGTCCGCTGCAGTCACAGGTTTCGCAGCACAAGCGGACCGCCGTCAGCAACAATAACAACGGCAGCCTCTTCGACGAGCCAACGGGGGGATCAAGCATCACGCGGAAGTTTCCACAGGCACGCTATACGCCGGCCACCAACTGGGACGACGATCCATTTGGTGGGGGCAACGGAAATGATCGCTTCAAGAAGATGCCGCCGCCGCGACCGCCGCCGCCCAAGGTGCTGGTCAATGGGCAGAACGTGGCCAAGCCCACCTCCTCGATGGCATCGGCGGTCACTGGCGGTACTGGCAGACTCATGTCGAACATTTTCCATCGCAAGAAGTCGACGTCCACGTCCACGGCATCCGCCGCTGCTTCCAAGGCCGCAGCGGAAAATCGCGTCTACGGCCTGAGCAGCGGCAATGCCGGCACACCAAGCTACAGCAGCAGTGCATCCTCGGCGGCCTTCAGCAATGTCGATTGGAATGCAGCGTGGAACACGGCCACCACTACCACAACCACCACCTCGAGCAGCAGCCACAGCTCCCATTATGCCTCGCAGCAGACGGCCGACGCACAGCTCATCAGCTTCGATTCGCCGCCCTCGTCGCCCACCTTTACCCAGAAGTCCAACAGCGACTGCGTCAGCGTGGACAGCTTCAGCTCGGACAGCAACTTCAGTTCGCCCAACAACGGCAGTGTTTCGCAGCCGGAGAGCGGATTCGAGGACGACTACCATCGATCGCGGCCCTCCACACAGAGCCCGCTGGATCCGTGGGAGGCGGTGGATAGCGTTGGACTCGGGGGAGTCGATAGCTTTGGCTCCGCCCCAGTGCGTCAGACGTACCAGTTGCAGGCACGCACCTCGGACAATCCGCTGTGCAATGGCAAGAGTCTGTTGCCGCCCACTCAATCGCTTACCATGCCCACCATCATCAAGCCCAAGATATCGCAAAAGCCAAAGGCTCCGAAACCGCCACCGTTTATTGGAGGTCAACTACCGCCGGGTTATAGCATACCATCAGGTTACGGAGGATCGGAGACGCCACCATCGCCCCCCATGCCCAAAGGACCTCCACCACCGCCGCCAACTAGCGGAATTTCACTGCTGGACGTGATTAACGGGAAAGTGGACGCTCTAGCGCTTAGCAACGGATGCCAGGGCTACATGGAGGAGGAAGTGATTCCTTATGCCATTGCGCTCTATGATTTCGATGGCATTGAGCCGGGCGATCTGAGTTTTAGAGTAAGTTCTTGGCACTCTCATATGATTTAAATAGTATAGTAATGCTGATTTCTGATTTCTGTAGGAGAACGAGAAAATTTATTTGTTGGACCATCCCACGCCGGAGTGGTTGCGAGGACGCACGCGTTCCGGATGTGAGGGCATTTTTCCAATCAACTACGTGGATATCAAGGTGCCATTGGGGGCCACTGGTGGCGGTGCTGCCGCTCCAGCTATTGCTGCTGCAGCACCATCACCCAGTCCGTCACAACAGCAACTGCCGACGGCGCTCTGCTTGTATCACTTTCCCGGCGAAGTCGAAGGAGATCTCGCCTTGCAGGTAATTAGCTTTGAAGCAGCGCCTTCTTCACACAATTTGTAATCAATCTTCAAATCGTCCCGTAGGAGAACCAATTGGTCACAGTGCTTTATAGGATTAACGAGGACTGGCTGTACGGCGAGGTGGCGGGCCGTCAGGGACAGTTTCCGGCCAACTTCCTGGACCAGGTGCCCGCTAATCTGCCTACGTTGTAACTATAAGGAGCCCCGATCTTTAACGATCTATAATTGTATACCCGAAACCGAAACATTGTCGATAAGCGAGTAGATGTCGAGCGAACTGAATCATATACACCCACATATATAATTGTATTTTTACTATATTCTATTCGAAAAATATGAATCGAGCATATAGTCTAAGACAACTAGTTTGTAAGAGAATCGCAAAATGTTTTTATGGGTGCATTGGAAACATGCCCATCCCTTCCCCGCTTATACACGGGATCGATTTATTGATTTTATGTTCAGCCCGCGAATGGAACTGTTTTGTTAACTGAGTAATTCTATATTTATGTATTAGAAATGATTTGCTGATCCTTAAAGTATTCGCCCAGCCCCATAGACCCAAACCCAATAGAGCAGGCAAACATTGTAAATAAGTTAAAATGTACGTGATTTCTATTACTGTTTAATTATTTAAATCGAGTTTAGTTAGACGCTTAGTTAGGCACATTTACAGATTCCAATTTATGATGCAAGCCGATTGTTTATGTATGTATTAATAATTCTTTAAAGTGCTGAGGGCAGTTAATCTCCGAATGTGCAGATGATGGATTATTTATTTGTCCCCTGCAGAGTGCTACTCTCACAATTTGTAGGTCTTATCGCTAATAAAATATCAGGATATCCTAGCAATGCAGAATGTAAACTGAAATAAATGAAGACGATCACAAAAATCCAGCTCATACTCATTTCCTTGGTTGCCTATGTGTTACATTTCAGTGTGGTGTTCCATTTCCGTATCCTATTTCATTCGACCATCTCTGCCTACGTAGAACACATCGGGAACTTTTCGTCGTCTAGTGTCTTTGCAAAATTATTCTTCAGTCGTTTCGGAAGTGTCAAGTCTACTCAACCGTTTCTCCCAGCTCCGAGCAAGCAAAATTATTTCCATTGACAATTTTCCAGTTTTCCGGCTCCACATACGTGTCGGTTTGTTTGATTCTCTGTTTCTGGAGGTTATTGTCCCATAATCAGCCATGTCCGGTGATTGCAACACGTTTTGCCCCAATGCCTGCGATCCGTGCCAGGCGCCCACGGATTTCTCGCCCTGTCCGCCGGGTTCTACATGTCCGCCCTGCGATTGCGGCGACTATGCCGGTTGCTGCTACCAGCAGCCGCCGCGCACCATGCCCATCCTGCCCAAGTCGCACTTCATGCGCTCCACAGCGCCGCTGGACACTGACACCATCTATCGCCGGTCGTTCTACGCAAACTGTGGCGACAACATTCGGGCCCGGCCCGTAATGCCGTGCTCCCAGATCCGAGCCTCCACGGCGCCGCTGGAAAAGTGCACCATTCAGAAGCTATCCTATATGCCGCCTTGTCCGGTGAAGCGGACGCCACCCATCGTTCCCATGGAGAGCGGCCTGCGCTTCGAGGGACCCATCTATGCGATGACCTCGCAGAAGCACGACTACGTGCCCAAGGGGATTGTGAAGCGGGATCCCATAAAGCCGCGAGTGGCTATCTGCACGTCGAATGCGCCGATGGAGCGCTGTACCATCCAGAAGCTGAGCTACATGCCCATCGATGTCTGCCAGAATCCGCCTCCGAAGGCCATGGTGCAGGGCTCGCACTACTGCAAGCCGGCAGGACCCATGGAGCGGTGCACCATCCAGAAGCTGTCCTACATGCCGGTCTGCTTGCCGGCCAAGGAACCCACGCCCTGGGCAGACAAAATACGGTGTGTGCCGCCGCGCTACTCCAATGTCTGCACCACCTACAACCTCAGCTACATGCCCAACTGCAATGAGGCACGAACTGCTCCGGTGACGCCGCTTACCACCTTGCGCTTCTGTGGCAACGATGCCGGTGCCGGAAGCACGGTGTACAAGCTCAGCTACATGCCAGTAGATGCCTCCAGGACCAAGCCGGCGCCCGTCCTGCCCAGGGACACTTTCTGCAGGCCCACAGGGCCGCTGGAAAGGTGCACCATTCAAAAGGCAAGTATTCCCACTCACAGAGGAGTAAGCCAAGACTTGTATATACGTTTCTCCTCGTCTTCTCCCTCGTTAGCTGTCCTATCAGCCGAATTGCACCGAGCGCACTCCTCCTATTCGCCCGATGGAGAATGGTCTGCGATTCGACGGGCCCATGTATGCGATGACCACTCAGAAACACGACTTTGTGGCCAAGCCGCACGTGAGGAGGGCTCCCATCATGCCGCGAACGGCCTTCTGCCGGCCGACTGGAGCCATGGAGCGCTGCACGGTGAACAAGTTGTCTTACATGCCGGTGGACGTCACCTGCTTCCCACGCGCCGAGTCCGTCCGGCCGCGACAGGGATTCTGCCGGAACGAGGGACCCATGGAGAAGTGCACCACATACAAGCTCAGCTACTTGCCGAACTGTGTGCCGCCCAAGGAGCCCCTACCGTGGGCCAGGTACACATCCTACTGCCGGCCAACCGGACCTATTGAGAAGTGTACCATCCAGAAACTCAGCTACGGACCGCCGGGAGCCTTCCAGCGCTGTGGTGGTAGGTCAAAGCCGGATTTACTTCCTAGCATTTCTAAAATATAATTGGAATCCCAAATAGGTCCTTGTGGAACTGGTGGCGGCGATGGCACCTTCCCCAAGGCCGGAATTTGTTAGGCTGGAAATACATTATGATTGCTCTCTAGGATCCTGCTGCCAAGCTCATCCCGAGTTCTACGTTGTGTTCAAGCTAAATCTTTCAGTCCAGGTCTTCTAAAGAGATGCGTTGTTATTTGTTTTAAGTGCTGCCCCCATTAACCAAGTGCCGCTATCCGTTTCCTTCGCTCCACTAACCCATTTATCATGTGTATGTACAGAAAATTGCCGGTGATCCAATAATTGGCTTACGAATTATGGTGTATTCCTCATTGTCAAATTAAAGTATGTTCGCAGAAAATCAGCAATCCGGTAAATCATAGAAAAACTAACAGGTTTAATTGGATTTATACAACTAAGTCTAGGGTATTGCGCCTCAAACCATTTGAATCTGCAGCCTCCGCTTGCTGGCTTCTCTCCGCTTCTTATCCCGCTTCTTGCGGACCTGCGTGGCCTCCCTGAAGAGCTGGACACCATCGCGCTGCTCTACTTCTGTTTGTAGCAGGGCCAGGCCGTGCAGGTTCCACCCCAAGACATCTCGCAGCTGGCCAACGTCCCGCTTGAGCATCGAGAGCAGCTTGACTAGCAGCGGCTTCATGTTCTTAGCCGCCGAAATGGGCTTCATGTGCACCTTGAACAGGAAGATGGTGACGCGACAAAGCAGCTCCAGTTGATCGGGTCGCTGGGTCAGCAGAGTGGGCAGGCGCTCGAGGACTTCGCACACAGTGGAGAAGGGTAGTAGGAGAAGGGCCTCCTCCAGATCGGAAGCACGTATCCTCATCAGGGTGCTAACCAGGAAGTCTTCGGGATTCTTTACCTGCAGGGCCTGCATCAGGGGATGTAGCTCTGGCTTCTCCTCCGCCTCGAGCTCGAACTGTTTGGATATCTCAAGGCATTCAAGAATCGATTCAGCGGACTGTTCGGAACCCACTGTTTTGCGGGACGGCATCTTCAGACCCGGAAGCAAGGGAACTGTGTTGTCCTCGCCCGTGGCCAGTTGCTCATTCTCCATTTGCTCTCGCTCCTCCTCCTGCACATCCTTCAATACAATTGTCTCATCTGTGCGCTCGTACATTCTAAGAGTTCTATCTGATCCGCAGGTGACCAAATACCGGCCATTTGGAGATACGGACAGACAATATGCTTCGCCTATGTGTCCCGGTAAGGTAAGAATCTTCTCGAAGTTGTCGCCATCCCACTGTTTCACCTTTCCATCCTTTCCACACGTAAAAAACATGTGCGTTCTGGGTATGAACTGTACACTCATCACCGAATCGTCGTGTGCAAAAATTGAACGATGACAGTCACCGAAATTTAAGCCCCAAACTTTCACGTTACGATCCGCTGATCCTGTTACAATAAGATTGGAGTCGTAGGAGATGTCCAGGCAGATCACAGGTAACTTGTGACCGTACAGGGATAAGTAGAACTTGAAGGTGTCGAGGAAGAAAACCTTTACGGTGGCGTCCAGCAGTCCCACAGCCAGGTACTTCATGTCCGGACTAACGGCCAAACACAGCACGGTCTCCTCCAGTTTCAGTGTATTTTTGTGCAGCAGGGATAGCACCTTGGTTTGGGCAGCGCCTTCGCCGGCATCGATCAGCTCGAATGTCCAGATCTTAACCGTGGAATCGCCGCTGCCAGTGACGCATCCTTTTTGATCGGGCAGTATTGCAATGGACCAAAGTTCACCTTCGTGAGCCGGAATCTCCTCTACTATATCAGCCGCTGCCACGTCCACAATGAGCAATTTGCCGCTCTTCATGCCCAGAAGGACGTAGTGATCGCCGGGAACGAACTTCGAGCAGAGTATGTAGTCCGTTGGCACAGTTCGCAGGCACTGCATGGCATCTCGATCCCAAAACTTAAAGGATTCTCCAGCTCCGGAACCAATGGCCAGGGAATCGTTGCTGAAGCACACGGATCGCACTTCAGATTGGTGGCCCAGACGAGTAAGTGACCTTAGAAGTTTCGCGCTGGGATCGGTTGCTTTACGCGTCTTGATAGACGCCTCCAGCGAGTACAAGGACAGGCTGTTGTTGGCCAAACTAACAAGGACACGCAGCTCCTGGTTCTGGCCCAAGACCACATCAATGGACTTGATCTTCTGCTTGGCACGGATGCTCTCCAATCGCTTGATTTCATCGCTCAGCGACTGTTCTGCGGACAGCTTTGCTTCGTCTGATCCCTCATCCTCAGTGGCCTTTTTCTCCTTCTTTATGCGCTTAGCCAGACGTTTCTTCACCTCTTCCGGCGTGCAGATGTAGAAATTCTCGATTAGGTCATTAGTGCCGTGGCAGCTGATCACGCGTTCACTGGGATCGGTCACCAGGTTGACGGTGCGCCCCTTTCCAGCCCGCTGGATGGTGCCGCAATTGCTCACGCTAATGGGGCTGATGGTGTCCTCGTCATCAATGGACAGGCCTTCAACGGCAGATTCCAGAGTTTCAGTGATGCCACCGTCGTGCTTTCTGAGGCGGTAGACGTTCATGCCGCTTTCGCCAGCGCCAGCAACCATTAGATTCCCAATAAAAGCCAGTGCCCAGACTTCAGTGCGGTTATCCACGATGGTCTTGAAGCAGAACTGCGTCTCCAGGTTCCAGAACTTGATTTGCGTGTCTTTGGAGCAGCTTACCACTATGCTCTCGTCCACCAGACGCTGCAGGAAATGGGCGTCCGTGATGGCGGCATTGTGGCCACTCAACCGAGCCCTTCCCGCCTGCTCCACCACATCGACGACCACCAGCTCGGTGTCCAGGCCTCCGCTCACCAGACGCATGCCCTGCAAATCGTACCGCAGGATGCTCACAGCGTTCTTGTGAAGTGCCAGCTTACAGATGGGATCGTAGTACCTGTCCGAGCTGAGATCGAAGATCTGAACCATGCCATCCGCATAGCCAACGGCAATGTGCAGGTGATCTGGCGAGACCCTCAGGCAGGTGACCTCGAACTTTTCGCGGCGCAGCGTCAGCTTACGATCGCCCATTCTGGGGAATATAAAATGTAAATAATTGTAAAATAGGGAAAAGCTTATAAGCCTACCGCAAATCCCACAGGATCACATTTTCAGCAGCTGGAGCGGCCACATATCGACCCTCGGTCCTGTCCAGAACGGCAAAGTTCACATTTGCGCGGCCGGAGGTGATGATATTAAAGCTGTCTATAGCCCGGTAGGCCAAATATTGTTTAGTTAAACCCATTGCAGCATTCAAAACACATAAGGTAAATCAAAAATCGCGTTTCACGTGTTTGGAGATGGATCCCCATCGATTGGCAGCCGTTGCTATCGATTCGTTCTTCGCAATCAAAACAGTTGGCAGCGCGTTTGTGTGGCAACACCGCGCGATTTCCGTTAGGCGCCTGCGCGTTTAAAAGTCGGAAATCCAACGAACCCACCCCAAAACTTTTGAGATAACTCTGTTTTTAGCCAGCTCAAGCTGCAGTTTTGCACAAATAGTTAATAAAGAACAGAGATCTAATCATGTCTACCTATCCCAGTGCTTCCGCTTCCCAGTCGACAGGTATAGAAAACGTTTATTCTTTTAATTAGTCTGAAACATAAATAACCGAAACCGCATCAGGAACCTCTGACCTGGACACGGAGTCCGTGGAAGTCCTGCGGGAGCGTCTGAGCACCATGAAGCGGCTGATGGCCGAGCGAACGTCCCAGCAGCAGAACAACCCCGCGACCACGGAGGAGATATTCTCCACCAAGCGCCACCGCTCCGCGGGCATCATCGATGGAAACTTCCTGAGCATCGCGTTCGGAGGAGCTCTGCTGGTGATCATCACGGTCTCGGTGTACGCGTTCTACAATCTCTACCATGCCATACTCAAGAAGTTCCCTTCGCGCCACGAGGAGCTGTAAACGATGCCAAATTCGATGGGTTTTCCACTTACACATATGTACGAGTTTCTGCATTTAATAAATTGTAGCATGAATTTTACTATCAAGAAGTGAAAAAACCTTGGCAAGTCTGCTGTTTTGCATTCGGGTTAATCAACGCCATTTATTGGAGTTCAACTCATTACAAAAATCAATAGTTTCTTTACTTTTTACACATCCATTGTTTGGTTCGAATTATACTACAACTAAACAGGGAAAACTGAATGCATGGACAGCAAAAACAAAAGGGGCGTTTGGAATATGATTTGGATATTGCTAAGTGAAAAACCATCAAAATATAACGCAGGTGTATAATAAAAACAAGACATGAGACGAAATGCTGAGAAGGAACACTTGGGGGATGGAGCTCAGATATATCTGGCGAAAACTCATGGATTTGACTTTGCTTACTCGCTAGCTAACTTCACATCTTTGCCTTTTGATCATTATTATTATATATCCCTTTCGTCTTAAATATTAGTGTTCGCTAAACTCATATTTTATGTGTATGAGTTGTAGATTTCATTAGTATATTTTTTGTTATTTTTTTTTTCTTTTTTCATTTAGTTCGATAGATTTGTTGGTAGATAAATAATAACTAATATCCGTTTGTTTTTCTTTGTTTTTTCGTTTTTAATTCAAATATTATTAGTTTATGTTTCGCAAAGTTCCATTTCTTGCACAGTTTAACAGTTCTACTATGTATTTTATAATTTGTTGTTTAAGGCGGCCGTAAATCAAACCGTTTAAATTTGGGAACCCACTTGGATGTCCGGGATTAAGCAATTTTAAAGGATATTGAACATTAAAATGGCTAAAAATGAACTGAACTATAAGTTTGGCTTCGCAATTTAACTGCCGCTGCGCCGCTTTGTAGATGTTGGATTCATGGATTGGATTGGTTGGTGGCTTGGACTTCGAACAAGACTCGGGGCTACCGGCTTTCTGCTTTTTACAATTGGTTAAATTCCCTACTATTCTCGAACTGACTCTGCTTCAGCTGGTGCTGCCGAGAAGGACGTTCCAGACGTTCCAGACGCTCCCACCGTCGTCGTCCCACCCGGCGCCACTTTGTTTCTTGTTAATCAGATGTTGTCCACGGAGTCGGCATCATCCTCCGAGCTGATCTCATCGCCGAACTCGATGTCCTCGTCGAAGCCATCCTCCACGAATGTGACTGTCTCGTTGATGCGCACCGACTCGGGGAACTCGCCGTACGTCTTCAGGTTCCTGGCCTCGTCCGGGGTGTACTTGAGGATCACATCAGCCTTCGAGTCCTGGTAGTCACGCAATCCCACCAATATGATGTCGCCCTGGTTAATCCACACCTGAAAGTGGCAAGGAAATCCGTAAATAAACAACTTTATCTGCACTTTTTTTGGGCAACGCCACGAGTCTTTGTTTCTTTGTGTTATGAGTAATTCTTTGGGGAAAAGCAAACTCAATTTTGCAGCATGTATTCCGTGTAATAGATAAAAGATAAATGATCTATGGCGCAGAGCGACTCCATTCCGGGAATTTCACAAATATGCGCAACCAAACGCCATGCTAACTGGGCAAACAAGAGTTCTATATTTGTTAAGAATGTTCTATTTTGAAAGTGACCATTACCCAATTAATTTTAGGGTACAATTTCGCAAGCAGAGGGCAGACAAGCTCACGTGGGCTAGGGAGTAATAACCATCTCGTGGATCCCAATCAGTACTTGAAATAAACCATCAAACATTGATAAACTAAGATTATAGCGAAGTGAGAAGTCACATACAGGAGAGATTGGACAACTGAATGGAGCATAAAGGCACTGGCTAATTCCACGGAAAACGAAGGAATTCGCTACTGCCGAGATAAGACACATTGAGATACCTCAAATCCAATCACGAGCAAACCCGGTTTTGGTACTGGAGCGATAAGAAGCTACCTCCTATATAAATGGCAAGCCTCTTGAGCAAGTATATACCCACTAATCGGATGCGAGCACGCAGGAGGCCTGACAACAGATCGAGATATGCCCCAGTGACGTCAAGAGCAGAATGGCGAAGTAGGAAGTGGAAATGCAGGGAGCTGTACGGTTGCATTGGGAAAACCCCCTTCATAGTAACTTACTCAACCGACGGAGCCAACGACCTAGGGCAAGTTGCACTTGTCGAGTGATTCAAAGCCAAAGCCTATTCATAAACTCACTTCCCAAAACAACTTCCTGTCACTGGCACTACGCCCAAGTGGGTGCAATATAAATTCCAGTGCCATGCATAGGTGACACATATACGAGGAGTACACATATATGGAATTCGTTGACCACGTAAAGTTCGATAAGCGACGATACCAGGGGTGGCTTTATAATTAATTAAGCAGAATCGAAGCCACTGCCACATAATTCCCACATTACGTATGCGTGCTGGAAATAACCAACCTCTTTGGGCCCTCGGCGAACTTTGGAGTATTTATCATCCATTAGAGCCCAATGGATGGCAACGCGCCACGGTTCCATCCTGCTATCTATCCGAGCAGCAGAAAACCAACCCGATAGATCATGCCAAAGGCGAAGAATCGTGACTAAATTGAATCGAAATTGCCATATTACGATTTCCAGCAGATAAGCGAACCCCTATGGATGGGCCCATTCCCGATCCAAGAAATCAGCTGGCTGGGGCTGGGAAGCACCTGGCAGTGTGCCAATGAGTAAGTTAGCGAGTATGTGTGATCCGTCAGTGGATTGGCATGCGAGGCAGCAGGTCTCTGTGCTCTATATATAGACATGGACATCATTGAACTCCAGATTGTGCAGGCAGTTTGCACTGGTTTCAGTTCGAAATGTAATATGTTTTCCACTCCACAGATCGATTTCTGCAATAGGATAAGCTGAACAGAGCTCTTTAAACTCAATATTATCAAAGCACTGTCCTAGTCTGGTTGGATTCATTATGGTTTTCCATTTTAAAAACTCTCATCAATTAAATCAGCGATAATAATGCTATGGGTATAACCACTAACTCGGGATAATTCTATGTGTCATAAACATAACTACATACACTGGAACACAAGCTAACTTTTACTACCTAGTTATTACTATAAATTTGAACAATTTCCCAATTACCTATTTTCCAAGCAAACCCTTAAGAGCTCACTTCCACGCTCTTCCTCTCTAGGAGCCAAGTACATGTGTAGATTAGGACCGATCAGGGAGCAATCCTCTGGAGGTAGGGCATTCCTGGGCAAGACAAGCCCGATCCCGAAGCACCTTAGACATGCCATTGGCACTCGCACTCTGCTATCTCAACTCGTCACTGATAAGGAGCCATATATGGGGAGCGAGCTGGCTGCGCTTTCTTGGCTATGGGGCGATAAGGAGCCACCAATTACAAATTGGGCAGGGAGACTCTCTCCAGAGAGGCTCTCCCTATAAATACAGCCCCCAGTCGCCGACGGCGGGCAAATCCCTAATCGGCAGCAAGCAAGAGACACCTGAACAATAGAACACGGCAAACTCGGGCCGAAAAAAGTGAATTCCATGCCAAAGCGAAACGGAATACAAGTGAAGTGCTATCGATACGCCAGAACAAGGGCGAAAAGCTAAAGCAGTCGCGACTCCGAGTCCCCAAACGAGTCGCGCCTCCACAACCAAGACCCAAAACCCAAAACCGTCAAAATTACTTACTACTACTCGACGAACTCGTGCGGCGCGTGCAACCAGAGCGAGGACATCATGCTCTTATCCTACCGATGCATCTACTCGGTGCTGCTGTCCACCATAGCCAGCATTATGGTGGTTCTCAGCTCTGCATCCTCCGGCTCCATGCAGCTGCCCACCGTGCGCAAGTGCGGCGGTGGCGGCTCCGCGGGAGCAGCCCACACCATGGCCATGAATTTGGCGGCCTACGGGCTGCTGGAGAACCGGATAAGCACTCTGGAAGCACCGCGACAAACGCACTGGACGAAAAAGTTCCTGGCCAAGCGGGAGGCGACTCCCCACTCGGCGCCGTACGTGGTCAGCATACAGATGATGACACCCGATCAGGGCCTGGTCCACTACTGTGCCGGCACCATCATCAACGAGCACTGGATCCTGACGGCGGCCCACTGCCTCAGCTCGCCGCAGGCGGTGGAGAATTCGGTCATTGTGGCGGGCAGCCACGACATCCACGATCAGAAGGGCGAGGCGAGCAACATCCAAATGCGGCACATCGACTACTACGTGCGCCACGAGCTCTATCTCGGCGGAGTGAATCCCTACGACATCGCGCTCATCTACACCAAGGAGCCCCTGGCCTTTGACACCTATGTGCAGCCAGCTACGCTGCCGGAGCAGGATGCCCAGCCGGAGGGCTACGGAACTCTGTACGGCTGGGGCAATGTCTCGATGACTGCGGTGCCCAACTATCCGCACCGCCTGCAGGAGGCCAACATGCCCATCCTGGACATGGAGCTTTGCGAACAGATCCTCGCCCGCTCCGGACTCCAGCTGCACGAGACCAACCTGTGCACTGGCCCGCTGACAGGAGGCGTTAGCATCTGCACCGCCGACTCCGGCGGACCGCTGATCCAGCAGTGCTGCGAGCAGCACTTCGAGCAGGCCAACATCGTCATCGGCATTGTGTCCTGGGGCAAGATGCCCTGCGGCCAGAAGAACGCGCCCTCGGTCTTCGTCCGCGTCTCCGCCTTTACGGAGTGGATAAACCAGGTCATCAGCACGGCCACCCAGATCATGTAGGATGATCACCCAGATCATGTAAGATGATCATCGGAAAGATACTAACAACCTGGGAAAACCTACCATAAATAAGTGCTCGAATTTGAAGATACCGAAAAACGAAATATACAAAAAAACACTAAAGATCGAAAAACCCAACGAAAAATTTAGATTCTCTAGACAATCTCATTAAAGAAATAAGATGAACAAATATAGAGTTATATACTGCCGCGATTCTAGTAATTTAAGACATAGACTAAGCCTCCAAAAAACACGAATAAAATTGTTAACACTTAAATAGAACACAGCTCTCAACTGACTTTATTTTTAGCTAATCTAACCGAGTAGGATGAGTAAAAATAGAATAAATGTGACCTATTTTACTCTCCAGTTGTTGCGTAAGAGAACTATCTTGTTTTCCCTACCAAAGTAGCTCAGCAAACAAGAACCGAAATAGATCGCACACCTGATCTTCAGCTTGGAGTTAAGTGCAATTGCGCAGATTGAATTAGAAAAGTGCGTACAAATCGGAGCTCCTTCAGTTTTGGCCCAGTCGAAAGTGATTGTGAAATAAGCTGAGGAACAGTCGGCCAGATAAGAATTCGCCATGTATTTGGCTTCTGTTGCTGGGCGGGGAGCAGGCGGAGTTGTTGGGGGACGAAGCCACAACTCACCTGGCGCCTTTCCACGCATTAGTCATGCTCCCGAGCGGCGTCTGGCCAAATTAAAGGGGCATCGGGAGCATGTTACGACCGTCAGATTGGAATCAGTGTGACTAGATTAGCTGCGAGCACGTAAAGCGCGCGGAATTGGGACCATCAGCTGACTACTGGATGATTGACAGTCTTTTGGGACATGCGCGAAATTATTGCCCCAATTCGGGTCTAGACATCTCAGATCGAGCATGTTGAACCTTGAGTCCAACTGCTGCACTTTGAGCCCCCAGCAACTGGGTTATTGGGGGGCCAGCTGTAATTCCGCACTTCCACTTTCTAGGAATTATCAATATTTACTCAACTTGACAGATGGCCCAGAAATTGTGAGGCAGCCAGGAAGCCATAAGGTATTCAAATGTTGTGGTACTGGCAAATCAATTATGGTGCATTTTCAATAATATATTAGAGATAAGAAGTAAAGCAAATGAATTGTTAGGTTGTTTCTGAGAAGCATTATTTATAATCGCTGCAGTGCGTCAGCTTTATTTACAAAATTAGTAATGCCGAAATCTGTGCTGTAATAACCGACTGAGATATCATATTTTTGCTTAAAAATCTAATCACAAATGTGCAATCGCCATAAATTCCTGAAAAACTTGAAGAATTCGGAGTTAATTCAATGGCAACTCAGCAACATGCACCCATCGAATCCCCTACTTTGCGGCCATTACATAACATAACATATCATTTCAAGATTAGGAGAGATTATAAATCCATTTATGGAGATCAAGGCGCAAACTGAAGAGCAAAAACTACGTCGCACTTGCTTGCAAATTATAATTGCTTTTCCGCTTTTTCGACACCTCGGACAAGACGCTTAGCAGTAGATTAGATAAATGCCCCAACCCCTTGACCAAATGCGGTCAAGAATAATTGCCAAGTCAGGATGTTGCATGAGGTTAATTTTATGGCGCAGCACGTGCAAAGAACCTTTGAAATTCTTTCAACTGCTTCAATTGGAATGGCAAGTGAATCTGAAAAGTGCTGTTTACTAAGGCCAAACAGTTATTGAATTCAATAGTTGCAGTGGTGCAGGTGATTTACTTTGTTAATCTATGTCGAATAATCTGATAGCTTCTGTTCGCATTTATGGCGCTTATAAAGATAAAGAGTTCAAGATCTAACGCCTGGAATTCATTGGAATTCCAAATGAAAAGTGATCGCCAGCAAGGTGAACTTGGATTTCAATCGGCATATTTGCATTTACAGTGCCAATGTTTAGCAATTAACCTGGGACACGATTTTCAAGAGTCTGGAAATTTGTTGGTTGCGCAGTTATGTCTGATTTGTTCGCTCCGATTGGACTCCACTTCTGGTGTTGTATATTTACTTGACAGCTACTAGAAATTGAAGACTAATTACGTCACTAATTACGCGGCCCGTTTTGACGCAGTCGATTTGGAGTCTTATTTATGACGCCCGTCTCCTGCGGCGTGAAGCACCATCCAAAATTTGACATGTGCTCATTCCTTTCGGAAGAACAGATCTAATCGCCTTATGAGCACGACCACGACCATGGCTAACTCAGGTAGGCGATAAGGAGCAACTGCCACTGCAGAACAAGAACGGAATAAGTTACCGTGGCCTGCAGTTTGGCAACGCAAAAACTGCTATGAAGGAGGCTGTGCCTCAGGTAACTGGCGTAGCTATTCAAATGCAGATGGTATACGCAAACTATTGGGTTGTTAATGCAAATTACAAGTCCTCAAGTGGATTGGCATGAATATATCTTGAATGCAATATTTTTTATAACTTCTCATTTTATGTTCTGCGTAAGCCACATCCAAGGGATTCAAGTTGAAAATAATTAACATCTATAATTTTAAATTCATCAGTATTTCGTATTTCGAGGAGCTATAGAAAAATATACATATAACTAGCTTCAGAATCGCTGAGCTGAATACTGACTGCATAGATCATAATACTATTGTATAAAAGGGTATATATATTGCATCCGTTAAAGAATATTCACATTTATATAAGTAGACAGACAATAAAGCATAAATCACAATAACCTGGAAGTAACAGTAATACCGCCGTTATAAATTTCTAATCCAAATATTTGAAGGAATTGAGTGTATCGGTCACCCTGTATTTGCAGTGCTATTGCTTTGCTTTCACTACATTAGTGCATAGGCACTTGTGTATTATTAATCAGCCCACACCGCCCACTTCTCTTTTGATAATGCATTCGCACAAGGACGATGACACTCACTCAATAATGGACCAGTGGAGAGAATTGCAGACAAAGAGGCGAACATAAGGTATAGAAAGGTTACAAGTTGGGGATTGGCGAAAAGCCCCCAAAAACACACGAACAGACTGCATAAGCAAAAACAAAAACGTAAATACGTAGCATTCGCTGGCAATCAATGCCAAAGTGGCTTAAGAGAGCCGCCTAAGAGAGTGGCACCCACTCAATAAAGAGATAGCACAGACCAAACAAAGAGCAGCACTCACCTTCTTGCGAAGTTTCCCCCGAATGTGACACAGGCGTTTGACGCCATCAAAGCACATTGCCTCCAGACGACCGTTGCCCAGCATCTTGGTCACCTGCGCGTACTCCTGCTGGTCCTCCTTGAAGATCAGCTCACGCTTCTCGAACTCGTTCTCGTTCTTACCACGACGACGATTCTTGCCTCCTTTTCCTTTATTCTTGGGCATCTTGGCTGTTTGCTGTTGTTGCTGTGCAGCTACTTTTGATGTTGCTGTCTGCGGGCGTTTTGACGACGCTGGTGCGGAAACGAAGAAAAACTGTTACTCAACGAGTTCACTGGGCGGGTAGTAATGCAATGAACACATTCAACTCCAAATCAATCGAAACGGTTGTTTCAAAACTTACAATTTTGTCAAATGTAAATGTGACAATTTCGCCTCGCTAAAGTGAAAAGGACTAGGGGCGGGCGGTTCCGCGAGGAACCAGTATATCGAACTGGTGTTATCGATTACCGTGCAGAGTCTGGCAACATTCATTTAAAATATCGTAATTCAAAATTTAGATTCATTGTTGGCCATTAAAAATTACATTACACTAAAACGTATACAAATTGTGTTTTTATTTTAATTATTCTCAAGATTTCGCTATCATAATAGGCGGAAGCGTATTGTAAGAAATCGATTTACCGTCCATATGTTATCGATATTATCGTTAGTGGTACTCCCAGCTGTTTTGTTTATAAGCTTTTTTAGGCAAATAACTTGAGGCGGAGGAAATCGAAATCCTCCGACTTGGCCAGGATGCACCAGGCCTACAGCGTTCACTCGATCCTGAAACAGGGCGTGCAGATAGAGTCCATTGCAGCATATGGTGGGTGGAGTCTCCGGTGCACTGTTATTACTCACCGGACGCATTGTTTCAGGCAACCATGTCATCTTGGGCACCCGCAGCGGACAGCTGATCATGTACTCTGTGGACGAGGAGACGGGCGTGGACATGCGGATGTTCAACAAAAACTTCAGCCGGAAACCGATCACCCAGATGGAGGTGATTGCCTCGGAGAATCTGCTCTTCGTGCTCACCGACTACCAGGTGCAGGTGTGCGATATTCGGCGGATTGAAAGCAACTTCGCCTTTATGCACAGTGCGCCCGACACGAAGGGATGCACCCTGTTCACCATGGACGTGGACACACCAAAGTCCACCACCGGACGTGTGGCCACCGTTATTCGGCTGTGCTGCGCGATCCGGCGGCGCCTTGTGTTCTTCTTTTGGAAGCAGGACAAGCTGAAATCACTGAAACTGAGCATCGACCTCAGCGATGTGCCCAGGACCCTCTGCTGGGTGGGCCATGCCGTCTGCGTGGGCTTTAAAGATGAATATGTGGTCTACGATGTAAGAAGTGCTTTGAGTGCCTGCCCCCTGTATGTGTAAGCTCTGTATATCCAATTCTAGATATCAGGAACAGCACCAAAGAAGCACGACCTGTTCCGTACCTCCTCCAGTATCAGCAGGGATCCCTGCATCTGCCTTATCCGGAACAACATGTTGGGCATCTCCAAGGACAGCTACCTTGTGGTGGTAGATACCAATCAGTACAAAGAGTCGGATGGCAGCAATAACTCCGCAGATGTACGGCCGGGTGCCATGGAAAGCAATAGTTCCCTAACTCCTCTGCTGTGGTCAAGTCCGCTTTTAGATTTGGGTACGATACCAGCAATCCACTTCAAACCATTTTCGAAATCTAATTCTATTGATTACAGTCTGGGATGAGCCGTTCGCCGTGGGTCGTGTCAACAACGCCATCGAGGTGCGCAGCCTGGTGGGCAAGGACACCCTGGTCCAGACCATTCCCGAGCTACAGAAGACACAATTCCTCGTCCACGCAGACAAGGGAACCATCTTTGCCGCCGCCACCTCCGAGCTTTGGTGCATCCGAATGGTGGAAATCCCCATCCAGCGCCAGCAACTGCTACAGCAAAAGAAATTCCAACTGGCCATTGAGCTGACGGTGAGTCCGAAGCATGCCGACATATAACTTAACATGCAGACTACAACAAGCTCTATTTAAAGCAAATCTCCGACGAACCGGCCGCGGACCGAGCCCAAACCATTCGGCAGATACACATGCTATATGCAAAAGAGCTCTTCACCAATAAAGAGTTTTCGGCGGCCATGAAGGAGTTTGAAAAGGCGGCTATAGATCCCTACGATGTGATAAGACTGTTTCCAAAATTGGTGCCCGATCCAAAGCCCGGCACCGAGGACATCACCGTGCCTACGTCCAGTACTCCTGCGCTAGAGGATGGCGACCTGGAAAACGCCTACTTGGCACTGATCGAATATCTGGCATGGGCCCGGCAGCGGGAAGTGGTCAAGCTGCGCGACACCAAAAGTAGTTCAAAGTCCCTGCTGGAGATCATCGACACCACGTTACTGAAGTGCTATCTGCAGACAAACGACTCGCTAGTGGCGCCGCTGCTACGCCTGAACCAGTGTCACTTAGAGGAGTCGGAGAAGACGTTGAAGAAGCACAACAAAATCTCCGAACTTATCATCCTCTACCAGATGAAGGGCAAACACAAGGCTGCCCTTAAACTGCTTCGAGAGCAGGCGAGCGTCGAAGGATCTGTGCTGCAGGGTCGCAAGCGTACAATACGCTATCTTCAGGAGTTGGGTGGTGATCATCTGCCGCTGATCTTTGAGTTCGCTGACTGGGTCTTAAACGATAATCCCGAAGACGGCCTGACCATTTTCATCGACAAACTTATTGAAGTGGAGTCCCTGCCGCGCGCCAAAGTTCTTGACTTCTTGATTAGCAAGCACAAATCACTTGTCATTCCCTATTTAGAGCACGTCATCACTGAATGGAAGGACAGCAATACCCTGCTCCACAACGTGCTCCTCAAACAGTATCGCGAAAAGGTGCAACGGCTTCTTGCTCAGCAGGAGAAGGGGTGAGAGTCTGTCATTCTCCTAGTCCAGAATTGTATGTTATACTCCCCTGCTTTCTAGAGAGGAAGTTCCCGAACTCATTCCAATGCGAGCCAAGCTGTACAAGATGCTGGAGGAGTCCAACAACTATTCGCCGGATCGCGTCCTAGAGGAATTTCCCACCAACATGCTGTTGGAGGAGCGCGCCCTAATCCTGGGCAGGCTCAAAAAGCACGACAACGTCCTGTCCATCTATATCCATGTTCTCGGAGATGTGGTCAAGGCAACGGCCTATGCGGAAGCCCATTACAAGGAGGACAAGCACATATTTCACACCCTCATCAAGTGCATACTAGTACCACCAACTCAACCGCCCTATGACGGTGTGCCCTTGCATCCCGATTTCTCGCAAGTGAATCTGGCGGTCGCCCTGGAAATTCTCAACACCCACGCCACCAAAATCGATCCTTTCGAGATCTTCGAGGTGAGGAAGGCGTTGAATGGCTTATTAGACATATTTCTTACCTATTTTCGACTTTGCAGCACCTTCCCGATGACCTGCCGATGCCGCAGCTGGAGAAGTACTTGGAGAAATCAATACGTAAAATGATGGCCGATAAGCACGAGATGCAGATGATGTGCGGCCTCTTGGAGGCGGAGGCCACGCGCCTGGAGAATGCTTTGGAGGCGCAGCGAAACATTAGCTTCGAGCTAAACGAGTCTAGTGTGTGCTCCGAGTGCAAGAAGCGCTTTCAAACCCAGTCGGCCTTTGTGCGCTATCCACGCGGACAGATCGTGCACCTATCCTGCCACGATCGCCTCGCCAGGGCGGCTGCTCAGCAATAAATGTGCTCAGCATACTCCAATGTGATAACTGATCGAAGTATAAAGTGCGAATTGAGTGTAACTGCTGTATTATTCTGTTTCTACACGAAATTTGCTTTTCCAGTACTCGTAACTAATCGGTTTACCCGATTTCTGCAATCAGACTAGCGTATATACTACTGTTTCTTAAATTGATGGTAACAATCGCTGTACGGCTAATTAATAACGATTAAAGACAAGCTGAAGTAAAGAAAACCGATATTGTACATATTTATTTGACTATATTTACAGGAAACTGGCTTTGCACTGGCGTGGTTTTTAGGCCTCCTCGCTGCCGTCCATTAGGCTGTCGCCGTCCAGGGAATCGTTGCAGATGGACAGATCCGACTCGGACTGCGCTCGACTCAGCGGCGGCAGTGCGCCTGAAAGCGACAGCGAGTGCTTGCTGTCCTCGTTGTCCTCCTCCTGCAGGCTGGGCGAAGCTGCACTGCATCCGTTTGTGCGATCCGTGGACGCAGAATGGGCCGCGTTTGCCGCCACGGCCACTTGATTGCCCAGAATCGACGTACCTGGCAGTTGAGTTTGCCTAATCAGCGCCAGCCGCTGTTGTGTCAGTTCCAGGTGGTGCTTGCGCCACTTGATCCGCCTGTTCTGAAACCACACCTTCACCTGCGCCTCCGTCAGCTTCAGTGTGTGGGCCAAGTACAGGCGCTCCGGGCCGACCATGTACTGCTGGCGCTCGAACTCCGCCTCCAGGCACTCCAACTGCTCCGGCGTGAAGATTGTCCGCACGCGCTTGTTCTTCAGCGCGCTCTTCTTGTGCGAGTCTGGGGAATACAAAAACTGGGGTCAGATGGAGGGCCCTATAAAACAGTGTACCACATATATGTATTTGATCGTCATCACGTATACATAACGTACTAAGAATTGATTACAGCAAGCAATCTTCAAAAATCCTTTGGAATTTTAATATTCCGATTGACAAACGAGTGGGTACAACAAACATGCCCAAAGGATTTTTATTTCGATGAATTTTATGCGGAGCAAAGTAATTAGATGATCTCTTCGTTTGCCTAATACCCGCTAGGATCAAATGATGGGTTACTTGGGGACTGAAGCACCTCCTTACCCGACTTGAGTTTCTCCCGCTGAAAGCTCAGGGTGGCCTGTTGCTGGGCGTGGTGTTGCTGGTGGAGCTGCTGCAGGCTCTGCAGGGCGGAGGGAGCTGCTCCGACGGCGGCGGCAACGGCCGCAAATCCCGCCTGGTGAGGATGCGGATGCGGATGCTGGTGTCCGCCGTGCAGGTAGCGGCCATTGCCGGCGCCACTATCACAATTGAAGTTGTTTACACTCTGGCTGCTGTTGTTGGCACTGTTGCTGCTGGCGTTGTTGTTGTCGTCGCCGATGTTGTTGTTGTCGTGCAGGGAGAGATTGATGGCATTGTTGTAGTCCTTGCGCTGGCTCTGCAGGCCCAAAATGGCGGCGATAGTGAAGGACTTGCCCACGTCGAGGGAGGAATGCGCCGCTGCCGCCTCGATGAGCTGCGCGTGCGACGTCGCAGTGGCGGCCGCCGCCAACTGTTCCCGGTGGTTGCTGTTGCTGTTGTGGCTACTGTTGCTGCTGCTATTGTTGTTGCTATTGCCGGTGGTGGGTGTCGGTGGGTGTGCGTGTGCGTGTGGGTGTGGGTGGTGGCCATCCTGGTGGTGGGTGTGCAGCTGCTGATGATGATGTTGCTGCTGCAGCTGATGATGCTGCTGCTGCTGCTGCTGCTCCATTTGGTATGAACTCTGACCCGCCGAGGCGGCGACCGCCGCTGCTGCAGCCGCTGCCAGCGCCGCATGATGCGGTTGACCATGTGCATGGATGCCCCCACCCAGTCCTCCAAGTCCAGCAACCGCCGATCCCCCGCCGCTGCCGCTGCCGCCGCCACTGGCTTGTGTGTTATGCAATGCCAGGAAGTGCGACAAGGGATTTGCGTGATATTTGGAAGGATTCTGCAGCATGCTTAGGTATTTGCCACTGTCTCCGAGTTGTCGTCCGTCTTCTGCCGCTGGCCTTCGGGATTCCCGGTCGCTCTGCAAATGGGAGAAATGCCTCTGTTTAATTGTTGCTCTGCTGTGGAGTTTCTGTGGCAGCCAGGTGTCAACGACTCCCCGATTAAATCCACAATTAAGTGAAATGTGATCCCTGCCTGAAGAAGTTGCTCTACCATGAAGTGCTTGGCCAGCTCAGCTCAGCGGTGGGAGATGGGACAATGGAACAGCAACTGGTTGGGACGGACCCTTGATGACTTTCCCTACACAATGACAATTTTTGAGATGTTTTCCCCAATGAACACAAAATAAAACATTACTTAAGGAGGAACAACAAAGTGAAAAATCACAAAAGCATATAGTTTTAATGGGTTTCAAATATGGGTTCAAATATGTTTTACAAATACGCCTCATGCAGTTTAAAATAGTATTACAGAAATAGTCAAAACATAAGGTATTTTTAAATATAAGTGAATGCCTTTGACTTTGCAAATAGATCGATTTGAAAATAAGAGCAAAATAACTTGAGATATAACAGGTAAAATTCAAATAATAATTAAAAAGAATTTCACTTTAAAGGATCTTAAATATTTTGAATCTGTACAGGAAATTCAAGCTTTTTCTTAAAATTTCTGGCTTTCATTACAAATGGCAATTTTTTTAGGTTTCAACTAACGTAAATAATTTTCTATAAGTGTGTCATTGCTTCTCTCGCTCGCACGCATTGCCACTGCCCAGGTGAGCCACACCTGAATCGTTTTGTGGCAATGCGATAGCCTAATTGAGACTTTGTCACAGTTGCTGCTTCATTGTGGCAGATGTAGCTGCTCTCCCAGGTGCGTGAACCACCATGCCAAGTCCTCAGCACTGCTGTCGCCCATTGTTTGTGCTTTAGGCCAAATGTGCAAATGTCTCAAGCTGCATTTAAGCTGATTTGCCTAAACATGCGAGGCTAATGTCTTGTGCGGGCCAAATGAGCTTCATTAGGGGAATGCCAATTTGGTGTAACAAGTGGATTTCGCACACATTCCGGCTGGGAATTTCTATCTACATTAGTTGTGAAGCAGGAGCCTCTTATCCTGGGAGAGAAGCTGGTATGTTGTCCTATTTCGGATCTTTATAATCACATTCCAGGTTGAGCGGACTTTGCTTAATGCGCAAAATAAAAATAAAGGAGCAACAAATTAATAACGGTAAAAAACTTAAAAACCTTTTTTTTTTTCATATAATTGCACATTTAAGATGGGAACTTTGTCAAAATTTAACCATTACTCAGCTATAACGCATTAAAAAATTGCAGAAATTGTAGGCATGTATCTTTTTGAAATACCAAAATATTAGATAAATTAGTCTCCTTCATGTAACTGATAGATCTTTAAATCATACATCATTATAAAATTGACATTTAAGTATTTACAAACTCAACTCTAGATGTTTTTTTAATTGTATAACGCGCTATCGAAATATAAAAACTACACATTTTTTTAGTAATCTTGCATTGAAGAGCCGACGGTACTCAATTTACCCAAAAAATCATTTAAGATGGCAATATTTACAAACCTGTTTAACCACTGGAATTCTAATTACATCGATTTCAATTGCAGCTGTGGTCAAATCAAAAGTTAATCCAAGCGTGAGTTAATCAGTTTTCAGGACGTTCACTATTCTTTTCACAAACACAGTTTTCAATCCGAAAAATCAGCTTTTCCGACGGCACTGCGAAAAGTGTTGCCTACAGTTCTGCGCCAACGGCAGTAACGGAAATCGAATCGAAAATCGAGCGGAAATCAAACTCCCGGAAGCACATGCGAACGCGAACGTGTTGCAAACTGAACTGGACTAAAAGTTCGTGGCCGTAAAATTTTTACAATATTGGAGGCGAACGCCGGCAGCGAAGCTGGCAGCGCTGCTTTGTGTTTGTTGCTGTGCGCTTGTGTGTGTGTCTGTGTGCGGGTGAGTGATTCTTTTTGTGGGTGTGCGTGAGTTGCCGTTGTGATTTTTCTAGCCGTTTTTTGCTCTCAACCAGGGTTGTCGAAAGTTTCACTAATAGTGTTCATTGCCTTATAATTAAGTGCTATTTTGCTTTGCACTTCTTTGTTAGTTTCAATGATTAAATTTGATTTGTTTGCGCTAGCCAAAAAAGATTTAAATTCAGATGATAAATTATTTTGAATAATTAAATGAGTAACTTGGTTTTTGACAAAAATATGAACTTACTCTTTTTTGAATTAAATGTGTTTGTGATTCAATACATATTTATATTTTCGATCTTATACATACATACATACAGTGGAGAGCAAAAGTGATTCCACGATCAAAGTTTTCGTTCACATTTAGAAATATCGCTTCTATAATTTCAAACTTTCGTTTCATTTTTTAGCAATGTGTATATGAGCTTAAAACTAATTGACAAACAAATCACAAGCTAGTTTCACCTCTGTGTGAGATTTAAGAAAATTCCAAAAGTATTTATTTCAAAAGCGATCTCTAGCATACAGCTAACGGTAGAAGCTCTTTCTTTAAAATGTTTTTCTTCCTCAAATTTGCTTTGCAACATTTGACAACCCTGCACCCAGCTTAGATCAAAAAGGCCAACGAAGGGAAGACGGAGATGAGAAGTAGCAAAAGCATAAAAACTTCGTCAACCGAAGCCTTATCATCATCATCATCATCATAGTCATCGTAGATAGTCATCGTCATTATCGAGGAGCAACCACCAGGCAATTACATTGAAAGGAATCACCCACCAAAGGGAGCAATCCACCACCGGCCACCCGATCCACCCACCTATCAGAGCAACCTTGCCCACACCCATTGGTAAACCCCCGTTCGAGGGCGAGTGTATGAAAAGTTATTGAAATTATGATATAAATGGATAATTGGCTCACTGGCACCGTCTCCCTCGCTCGTGGCAAATGGGCGGTACCTAAGCAGCCGGAAAACAATGCGAGACAATATGGCGACGCTGGATTAATAATATTTCGTGAATGGGTGGAAAAGCCACTGGGGCAGGGCTATGTGGGGATAGACATAATTAATGAAGCAATAAGCTACGAAATTACATCGTAGATACATAATTGGTAAGGATATCAACATTAGGCCACGGAAAATCCACAAAGCAACTCAATTTAATTATTACTTTTAATCTTTGTAGTATCTGAATTTAATTATTTTATCACCATTCACATTTTTATTTTTTTGATAAATGACTATAATCAAAATGAAAGTGCAAGTTGGATAGGAATTTGGAAGGCAGTGCATGTAGTGACATACAACAAGAAATACAAATCTGCTGTGGTTGTTTAATCTTAACGAGTAATATACCAATGATAGCGCAATAACTTACTATACTAATATCACCCACACCAAATATTACAAGCTTCCTGTTAATAATATCGACCGATTATCTTAAATCATTTGTTAAATATCGATGCTCCACTCAAAAGGTATTTGCCAAATAAAGCTTCAGTGAAAATAACACCTGTTATCTACGAAATCGGTAATCTATATATCAAGGGTATAAATGAAGACTGATTGGATTAAATATAGAACTAATTTAGAAACAAAATATATACTATTATACGTTCCATTTACTATTTATGTTTAAATGAATATAATACTAACACTAAAGTGGGAAATTTAACATAAATTTAAGTTTATAAATGTATATGCCTTCACAATATCCTTAATTTAAGTAGCAATAATAATTGCGCCTTGTTCTTGGCCAAAATCCTCAAACTAAGTTGGCAATACTAACTATCTACGGCCGCAGCTCAACCCCAAACTCAACCCCAATTAGCCGCCTCTTGGCTCCACCGCTTCGCCTGCCAAACGGGTCTTCAATTTACCGTTTGATAAACTACCCGGAATGCCAACGATCATTACGAGCCAGCGGAACTGGCGGAAACGGAAACGGAAAGACGAAGGAGGCCCCAATTAGCGGCCCATCAAAGTAAATCAATGCAAGAGCACGTGAAGCGGGCAGAATAGGAAAATGCCAAAAAAGCACAAAGCAAAGGACGAGCTTACACACGAAAAAATAAACCAAAAGTAACCACTTAGCTTTGAGAAGACACTTTGAAAATGGTAAAAGTAAGTAGGTAAGTAGAAGATGTTTTATTACAACAAATTCTTTAAAAATCGTCAACTCGAAACCTTTCTATGCAGTTGGAATCATCATGCCATTTACAACGATTTAATTTATGTAAGTTCAACAAGCTTACAGTATTTAATAAAGAATAAACCATATTGTTACAAATTGCTTTGTTCCCTCGATGTCAAACTTTCGCCTCATATTTCGAAAAACCAGAGGGACAAATTCTAAAATCAGAGCCAGGAATGTGCAGCCAAAAAAGGCAAACGGAGAGGAGGAATGGGGAAGCGGAGCTTGGCAACGAGATGGGGATGGAGAGGATCCTTTCGGGTGCTTCGGCGTCACGTTTGTCGTTTCAATCATCATTAGTGCTAATGTACCCACAAGAATTGGCCAGCCACTTGGCGCCGACGCCGACGTCGACGCAGGCGTCGGCATTTAGCAATGGCGGCCGCAGCAGAGCTAAAGAGAGTGGGGCCAGGGACATGGAAAGAGAAAGAGAGGGAGAGAGCGGAAAATCTGTTTTAACTAACAGGAAACGCGTGTGCTTACATACACACACGAATACTTTTTATATACCCACATATTTTATTTTCCATTTATTTACCACAATTTTAATATTTTTTCGAGGTGAAAGCAACAAAAACAACACGTTTCCCCATAAAACAAACACACACACATGGCACACTAGTGCGCACTGCGCATGCTCTCAAATGGCAGGAAAGAGAATTGAAGAGAGGTGTGGGTGTGGGTGGGCGTCCTCTGCCACCGACGCCATTGTTGTTGTGCTTTTGGCCTTTTGATAAACTTCGTCGTCGTCGTCCTCGTTGTTGTTTTTGTTGTTGATGCCCTGCGGACGAGAGATAAAATGAGATGAGAGGCGTAATGATGATGATGTCCCTTTTCGGTAAAGGAGGGGGCCAAAAGAGAGGACCAAGGAGCGTTGCCATAACCATAACCATAACCATAACATTTATTTATTTTTATTTAATAAAAGCCCCTCCTGCGTACGAACATTATAATGTAATCTAATAAATAAAACACAAGCAAGCGGCAGGAAAACTTTTTTCATTATGAATTATTACGGTGAAAGTGCCAGGAAATAGGAAAACAGGCGATAGGAATGACGGTAAAAGGGAGAAGGGCTCGGCTAACGGGCAAATGAAATTGCCGTTAGTCCTGCTAGGAGAACAGGGTTGCCTACTTTTCGGCTCCATCAGCCTGTAGAATTAATGGGCAACACTGCGTATGAGTCATATAAATGAAATGATTTCTGAAAAAATAAGCTTAGGGAAAAAATAAAAATTAGACGGAAGTGAGACTTCTCAAAAAAAAAAGAAAAAGGTATAAAATATTGAAATTCAAGTTAGTTTGTATTACTAAAAGAGGCCGTTCAATTATAAAAAATTGTTAGGCACATTTTAATTGGAATGACGGAAAGCACGAACATTAAATATTGGAATGCTACTCTATTCAATTATAGTCATTTGGTTTTGTCGTTTCTTATCATTTATATCCGAAGGTATATTTGATTTTACCGTCCTTTAAATGAGCTGTAAAGAACATTTTCAGTACTTTGTGTGTGCTTCTGCTATCCTTTCTCATTTAATGAAATATTTTTATTCTTATGGAGCCGCACGACGTTGTGGCACAGACGCCCCATCAGCTCCACAGAGCCTCAGCCCCATATACACACACAACGTGGCAGGAACAAAGTGCCTAGCTGCTCCACCAACCTAATCCTCTGCTGCCCACATCCTTCGCATCCTGCTCGGCTGTATCTCCTGGCAGGGCTTAATTTTATTAGCCCTCTGCCTTGACTCGGCTTCACCCTCGAATGGCAGCATTCATTTGCCGGGCAGAACATCATCATGAGGTTGAGCAGCCAGCCCCTTTGCTCCTCGCCCATCGGAAGGCGCCCCTTTTGTTCGGGCTGCCCCCTTTTCTTGGCCACTGGCTCACAACAAAATGGACTCAAAAATGCGAGAGGAGCAAAACATTTGCGGCATGTTTTTAATAATGTTGTTTATAATGTTGATTTTCCTCAATTTTATTTGTTCGTATTTTGTTGTATTTTTTCCGCATTCCCCACATCCATTTCTTTTTGATGTATTTGCGCCGCATTCCTTTTATGGGTGGGAATAAACGAAATGTTAATCTCTTTCTTACGGCCTGAAATTGGTAGATACTTCATGCTATGCTGCGTTCAACTTTATGGCTATTGAATTTTTAGAGACCTCTCGACGCGCTAAATCAAAGCCCATTCAAAAACTAATTACAAAATCAAAACTTATAATGAGCGGCAAATTAGAAATTTTTCGATTGCCCTCAAAATCAGACAACAAACGGCGAGCAAATCAGGTGAAAGGGCGGCCATTTTGCGATTTTAATTAAATCCGTCTATTCCGGTGGCTCTTCCGCCGCATTTGCTGCCACTTTGCCACTTGAGTGTGTATGCAACCCGCTCTTGGCCATATTCAAAATGAGTTTTGGTCCCGGTTGGGTTTTTGGCCAAAATACTGCACTCTGCGCTGATGGCGAGTCACTCGAAACAAAAATATTTTCGGCCCCATTTCGTGCGCTTTTCGGTCCGCCAAAA